ATCAACGAGTTCTCATGGGGAATTGGGTGATTTTGGGTAGAACTTAGGATTTTCAAATTTTGGGAATTTTGACCTCGATTTGAGGTCCGATTTCGAAACAAATTATATATTTGAGTTTGTGGGTGAATGGGTGATCAGATTTTGGTTCGAACCTCGGGTTTTGACCAAGCGGGCCCGGGGTCGAGTTTTGATTTTTTTTTGGGAAAATGATATAAAACCTATAAATTAGCATTGGGATTGAATTCTTAGCATTTATTGATGTTGTTAAATTAATTTGGGCTAGATACAAGTAAATTGGAGGCGAATTCTAAAGGAAAAGCGGTGTTTTAGGCTTGAGTTGGCCGTGGAAGTTCGAGGTAAGTGTTTGGCCTAACCTTAGCTATATGGAATAGGTGTTGTGTCTTAATTGCTATGTGTTGGTGTCAAGTACGACGTATAGGTGAGGTGACGAGTATCTATACGTTGGTATCAAGCATGCCCGTGAATCTTATATTTGGATTTGTTGTGATTTTACTATATATTGATCATGCTTAACTTGATGGTTAGCAACCGTGGGACAAGAATTATGATTATCTTCGCGGTATTTGTTTATCGTTGAGCATTGGCTCCAGTTGAGGTTTCACTTGTGAAGTTAATTGTTGGTACAAGTTTTGTTATAGTTGATTCCCTTGCCGGGACGTATTTAATTTTTACTGTCGGTTCCCTCGCCGGGATTTGCTTATTATTGTTGTTGGTTCCCTTGTCCGGATATTGTTGTTTCCTTATTGTTTCCTTGCTGGGATTCTTTTTGTGATTGGTGTTGATTTGTATATTGGAATCGGGTTGCACGCCGCAACAATATTATATGGGATCAGGTTGCACGCGGCAACAAGGAGTAATAAGGAAGGACAGGAGGGGTCGGGTTGCACGCCGCAACAGTGATATATGATTTGGATCGGGTTGCACACCGCAATAATATTCTATAATTTGGATCGGGTTGCAGGCCGCAACAGTGTTATATGATTTGGATCGGGTTGCGCGCCGCAACAATAAAGAATAAAAGTGGATATTGATTTGTTACTGTTTCCTTATTCTTACTGATGCAAATTTTAAGATGTTCTTTATGATTTTCTCCTGAGTTACTGTTGGTACTTGATATTCCCCGCAGCATGTTCCCCTTCCCAACTTTAACTGCTAGTTCCCGTTATTATTACTTGTCGTATATGCTTTAACTGCACAGGTTTATTTGGTAGTCTTGTCCTAGCATCGTCACTACTTCGCCGAGGTTAGGCTCGACACTTACCAGCAAATGGGGTCGGTTGTGCTGATACTACACTCTGTAATGTGTGCAGATCTCGGTACCTGAGCTTTTGGACCATAGTGAGGTTGCTGCCTTCAGTCCAGCGGAGACCCGAGGTAGTCCTGCAAACGTCCGCAGGCCTTGGCGTCCCCTTCTATCTTTATATTCTGTTTTCTTTTACTTCAGAGACAGACTTGTATCTTTCTTTTCAGACCATTGTTTGTAGTATTAGTAGATGGTCCTGATATTGTGACACCAGTTCTGGGTTGAGATGTATTTTGTATTTTTCGCACTAGTATTTGGCTAAGTTATAAGATTTCGTCTTCCGCATTTCTTCTATTATTATTATTATTCCGCTGTTGATCGCATGTTAATTTGAAATTGTTAAAAGGTTAAGGAAAAAGGGTAATAAGATATATAACACTCGGCTTGCCTAGCTTTCACGAGTAGGCGCCATCACGATTCCCGAGAGTGGGAAGTCCAGGTCGTGACATCCAATATGGAAACTAACTCCATAAATTTCACAATACAAAAGCATGTGTTCATAAGCATAGTAGTAGATCAAACAAAAATGGAAGGATAAACCTCTAACCAATTCACTTAACTTTTACATATGTTTATCAAACAACAATTCATGCTCTTTTCACGTCCTTTTATATCCATAATACACAGTAAATTTATTTGTTCAACTAAGTAATGCATAAAAAGCTAGATTAAATTGTCTTAAAAACATTTTTTTTCTTCATTACCTTTAATTATCAAAATCTACCTAAAACAACAGCAATACTACAAAACTAAACGAAGATGGCACAACGAGTGAGTTACAGATTTATCATACATGTAGGACATAGCACCAAAATATCTATATTACAAAAAGATAATCAACGTTGAAGGGACGACACAACTTATAGCTTTCAAACAAACAGATAAACACATTCAATAAGATGTGGATGATAATTTTTCATAAGAAAAAGGGGAAATTGAACCTTTAGAGTAATGCTTTATTCTTTATATAACAAAGAACTCGACAGAACACGCCGAACAATCACGAGCACGAGAAATTTGATGATACAACCCAGCAGCTGACTCAAGACCGGAACTTCGAACGGAAATCGACACTAATTTCAGGTGGTATTAAGGTGCTATATTTAGTGATATGGGTCTGAGTTGAAGCTCGAATTATGGAATTTTATGGCTGAAATTTTTTTGATATTGCTACAATAGAGATGAAAACTAAAACTGAAAAAGAAAGCAGCCTTTTCGTTCTTCTTCTCTCTCACGTTTTTTTCCTTCTTCTAAGATCTCCCCCTCTAAATGCTAAAAGTGAAATGTTTTATATGGTGCAATGTGTGAGTCGTGGAGGGAAAGGGTAACTAGTGCATGGTGTGTGCATTGTGTCGTGTGTGTTTTGTGTGCAATATGAGTGAGACGTGAGGGGTTGAGGGGAAGGGACGTGATGTAACTAAGATTAAGAGAAAAAAATTTGTATTACTTATTTCGGTAAAGGGTCTGATATGTCCCTCTACTATTAACAATTATTTAAAAATGTCTTTCGTTATACTATCGGGTCAAAACAATCCTTACCGTTACACAATTAAACAAAAATGTCCCTAAACAGACGGAATAGACACGTGTCACTCTCAAATTTAGTTGACCCATCCCCAATTTAAAATACCCAATACCTCTATTATCCGACCTGTTATCCGACCCTAAACCCCCTTCCCTAAAATAACCCCACCAGACACGACCCTCTTCTCTCTCTCACCTCACACCAAAACCACCGAAAATAATGACAGCTCACCGGAAAATTCCTCCTGTATTGGCCCCCCTTCGTCTCCCTTCTCTTCTTCTTTTTCTTCGTATTTCATCATCCAAACAGCATACCCATTCCACCATGTAAGCGAACGGAGCCGGTGAAACTCGCCAGAAAAATTACAAATTCACCACTCTCTCACTGTTTTCCTTCTTCATTTTATATCCACCATGAAAACCGGCGAGACCTACTACAAATCTTGGCCAAAACACCACTGCCTTACTTTTGTTATCTTTTTCAAAACAAAAATACACCACCGCCTTCCTTCATTTTCTTCTACTTATTTCTTTTTCTTCTTTCCAATTTGTTGGATCTAAAAAAAATCAGAGATTTTGCCATTTTTTGAACTTCGCCGGAAAAATAGAACCTAGCCAAGTCCCACTGAAATTCTCAGATCTGCTTGTTGGTTTTTATTTTTCCTGTGACCTTTAGATAGCTGCTTATATTGATAAAAAATCGATGACCTTAATTAGAAATTTGCTCGTGTTAATAATAGTTGATAGAAATTACACTAAAAATTATTTTAATAATTGCTAGATACAACGCCGGAAAACCTGCTCGAAATTACACTAAAAAGATCTTTCCATAACCACCACACATACGAATCTTGAGGTAAATTTTCGTAAATTATCCCTCTTAAAGATTCAATTTTTACAATCTGGGTTTATATGAATGAGTATCTTAGTATTTTCAGGTTTGTTGTGGAAAAGGTGAAAATGATGAACTGGTTAAACCCAGATTTGGATTTGGATGTCAAGTATGTGGGTCGGAGCGGGTTCGGTCCAATTTGGGTTATTAAAAAGAACCAGATGGCCTTGAGCTTTAAATCAACACCACGTGTCTATTCCGTCTGTTTAGGGGTATTTTTGTTTAATAGTGTAACGGTAAGGAGTTTTATGACCTGATAGTATAACGAAGGACATTTTTAAACAATTGTCAATAGTAGAGGGACATATCAGACCCTTTATCGTACTTATTTTGTTACTTTTTTTGTATTTTCGTTAGTTGCTTCTTTGTTTTAAAAAAAATCACTTTTACTTATTGTTTTTTTTAATGAAGAAAAGAGAAAGCAAAATGTATTGCTAAAAATATTAGTCAGCTACTTTTAGTAAATATTATGTACATAAGAAAACTAAATATTTATACTGTAGTTTAAATTATACTAAGAAAAAATACTATAGCTTACATTTAAAATTAGAAGAAACCAAATATATATTTTGTTCTTCTATTTAAAATAGGAACAAAATTTATACTTTAAGAATGTGAATATTTCTTGTATTTTTAATTTTCTTAAATAAAACCTATTAAGAGTAAGATAAAAATTTACAATATCAAAATTAGACCTAAAAGAAATATTTACACTAAAATAATATAGAATTTGGGTGTGGTCAAAAATTAGTTGTTCACAGCATGCACCTCTTTGCTTGGAAACATGAAGAGTTTTCCGGCAAAGAAAATGAACAAGGTGACTGATTTTTGACCTCACTATTATTTAAAAAGGAAAAGAAGATAAACGAAAAAGGTGCGACCGAGCCTTGGTTTTTGGCAGCCTACATATCCCAGGTTATAAGAGAATCAGGTCACATGTAGTTCAAGTGAAAGAAGAGTGATGGAGTATGCTCAAAGGGAGAGTCGAGTGAAGTTTCGTTGAGGTTCTGATCCGTGGTTCCTACTGTTACATCAAAATGAAAAGAAAATTACATACTCTTGAAATCTAAGAGTTACAAAATTCCTATCTAAATGCCATCTGGAGTCTTGTCTTGCTTCTTGACTTGCTTCCTCCACTAACTTTAGAGTGAAACTTGACGTTCTCAACGCAACAGACTATGAAATATTCTCACAGGCTTGTTTCTTGATCAGATGATGAGAAGATGGATCTTGAGATCCTATGTCGCCGCATGCATTATGTCAAAGCTGGTTGCGGATGGTATTGAGATCAAACGTTCCACTTTCTCTGGCGAGGGATGGAATCTTATTTCTTGCACATCCAATCCATGCATTGCAGAAAAACCAACAAGACTTCACAAACAAACAAAACGAACAAAACTTTTCTGCCCCAGTTTGCACTAGAAAATTTTTGTGAGTTATTGAAAATCCAATAAACTATCGTTCTATTGCATAATAAAGCATTGAAAAAGAAATGGGCCTTTTTTTATAGGGGATGTCGTACCCTATGTTGGCAGAAAGTAATGCAGCCAGGGGATATAGTACCCTGTTTTGGCAATAAGGTGAGGCTCGTGGCACTCGGGATGCTACTAGGGAATGTCGTACCCTATGTTTGCAATAAGAGAGAATCTCAACTTCAGCAGGTATGACCGCTTCAGTGCCATAAACCAATAAGTAGGGTGTTGCGCCAACTGATGTACGGACAGTTGTCCGGTATCCCAAAAGAGCAAAAGGCAGTTTCTCGTGCCATTGTCTAGACCCTTGGACCATTTTCCTAAGAATCTTCTTGATGTTCTTATTCGCAGCTTCAACAGCTCCATTAGCTTTGGGCCGGTAAGGAGTAGAATTGCGATGCTCAATTTTAAATTGTTCTCATACCTCCTTCATCAGATGACTATTCAAATTAGCAGTATTATCCGTGATAATAATTTTTGGAATACCGAAATGACAGATGATGTTGGAGTGAACAAAGTCTACTACTGCTTTCTTGGTAAATGCTTTCAGTGTAATAGCTTCCACCTATTTGGTGAACTAATCAACTGCAACCAAGATGAATCTGTGCCCATTTGAAGCTTTTGGCTCGATTGGCCCAATGACATCCATTCCCCAAGCAACAAAAGGCCAGGGAGCTGACATAGGATACAACTCTGAAGGAGGTGAGTGAATCAAGTCGTTGTGAATCTGACACTGGTGGCACTTGCGAACAAAATGAAAGAAATCTCGCTCCATAGTAAGCCAATAATATCCTGCCCTAAGGATTTTCTTTGCTAGAACATATCCATTCATGTGCGGACCACATACTCCTGAATGCACTTCATTCATAATTATTTCAGCTTCTTTGGCATCCACACATCTCAACAAATTCAAATCCAGAGTCCTTTTGTATAGGATTTCCCCACTCAAAAAGAAACCATTAGAGAGTTGCCTAATAGTTCTATTTTGATCCCTATTAGCATGTTCCGGATATTCTCTTATTTTCAAAAACTGTTTAATATCACGGTACCATGGTTTACCGTCTAGTTCTGCTTCAATTGTATTGCAATAACCATGTTGATCCTGAATTTGAATTTCTAATAGGTCAATGTGAGTATTACCCGGATATGGAAGCATGGAGGCCAGGGTGGCCAAGGCATCAGCTAATTCATTGTGAAACCTGGGAATGTACCTGAACTCGGACTTGAACCTCTTGCTAAGATCTTCCACACATTGTCTATATGGAATGAGCTTGATGTCTCGAGTCTCCCAATCACCTTGAGCCTGCCGAATAAGCAAATCTAAATCTACCATCACCAACAGTTCATGCACATTTAGGTTTATTGCCATATTCAGACCCATGATGCAAGCTTCATATTCTGTCATGTAGTTTGTACAGAAGAAACGGAGTCGCGCCGTGGCAGGGTAATGTTGCCCAGTAGGTGATACAAGAATTGCCCCAATCCCTACGCCTTTGATATTGACAGCCCCATCAAAGTATAGTTTCCAAACTTGACTATCATCTTGGACTGCTTCTTCAACTAAATTAACCTCCTCATCTGGGAAGTATGTGTTCAAAGATTCATACTCATCATCAACTGGGTTTTCATCTAGATGATCAGCCAACGCTTGCGCCTTCATGGCAGTACGAGTGGCATAAACAATATCAAACTCTATGAGCAAGATTTGCCACTTTGCCAATCTGCCAATTGGCATCGGCTTCTGAAAGATGTACTTCAGGGGATCCATTCGGGATATGAGGTAAGTTGTATAGGCCAAAAGATAATGCCTAAGCTTCTGGGCGACCCAGGTTAAGGCGCAACATGTCCTTTCTAAAAGAGTGTATTTGGCCTCATAAGTGGTGAACTTTTTCCTCAAATAGTATATTGCTTGTTCCTTTTTGCCCGTGGCATCATGTTGACCAAGAACACAACCAAAGGAACTATCCATTATTGACAGATATAAAAACAGAGGCCTACCAGGTTTCGGCAGGACCAAAACAGGGGGATTTGACAAATATTCCTTGATCTTATCAAAATCTTCTTGGCACTCATCTGTCCACTTGATAGCGGCGTTCTTTTTTAACAACTTGAAAATGGGCTCACTTGTGGTTGTAAGTTGCGCGATGAACCTGCTGATGTAGTTCAACCTCCCGAGTAAACTCATGACTTCTGTTTTGTTCGTCGGGGGAGGCAGCTCTCGAATGGTCTTTATCTTGGAGGGATCTAACTCAATGCCTCTTCGGCTAACTATAAAACCCAAAAGCTTCCTAGAAGGAACTCCAAATGCGCATTTGGCGGGATTGAGTTTGAGATTGTACCTTCGTAGCCATTCAAAGAACATTTTCAAGTCTTGCACATGGTCATCTTGTGTTCTGGACTTGATGATCACATCATCAACGTACACTTCAATCTGTTTATGCATCATGTCATAGAATATGGTAGTCATGGCCCTCAAGTAAGTTGCCCCTGCATTCTTCAAACCAAATGGCATGACCCTATAACAATAATCACTACTAAAAAATAGCAAATTTGTGACCGTCAAATCAGTCGCAAATCGTATTTTTTCGACCGATTTGCGACTGGAAAGTGTCAGTTAGAAAACGCGTGGTCGCAATATATTTGTGACTGAATCAGTCGAAAAATTGCAACGGATTCAATCGCAAACTGAAAAATGCGGGGACATTTGAAATTAAGCAATTTGCGACTGAATCAGTCGCTAAATTTGCGACAGCGTCAGTCGCTAAATTCTGAGTGAAATAGTCGTAAATAATAAATATCAATTAATTAAAAATATTGAAAATTCTCCATTTGCGACTGATTCAGTCGCAAAAATTAATTAAATATTGTTAGAAATTTTCAATTTGCGACTGAATCAGTTGCAAATCTGGATAATTCCTGGTGAACTTTGTGTTGGATTCAGTCGCAAATCTTGGCATTTTTAGGCAGAATCCTACTGTATTTCTAGTTACCCACCTGCCAAATAAAACAGCCAACCAAACACCTAACAATTAACCAAAAACCTAATATAACAATCCAAAATTCAATATTTACCACAAAGCGAACAATAATATTTATAACAATTCAACCAACTAATGAAACAACGAACTATCAAACAACATAAATTAAACTTGTCTCTAACTTCAACTCTAAAACATTCAAATAGCCTATTCAGATTCAATCTCCTCCTCAGGCTCAGACTCAGACTCAGACTCCATTGCAGCTGTTTTCTTGCTTTTTTTTAACAATTTTTGGAACAAAGCCTGAGTTTCTTGAAGTTCTTGCGACATTTGATCCACTTTTTGACGCATAGATTCCATGTTTTCTTGGGAAACTGATGCCCCAGTGAATAATGTTGTTGGTGGACGACTGGAGGATGGCTGTACTCCAATCCCGTAGACTCGACCTTTATTTTATTATTTTCACGAGAAATAAAGAAAAGAAAGTAAAATAAGTAAGAAAACAAACAAGCGGCTTTCAAATTAATACCAAAATAGATAATTACATAATATTCATACCTTTATTCACGCCACCAGCCGCTTGTGTCCAAATTGCAGTCATATCCTCCGGGGTCGGCTGAGTTCTTTCAGGTTAAGTTTGTTGCCATGCATCAAGATCAATATGATACTTGTCCTGGAAAAAAAATAATACACGTTATATAAATAAAATAAACCAAGAAGGAAAAATAATATAGTGTTGGTGTTTGGATTATAAAAATGTCTCTAAAGCACGCGGTTCGATCCATCCTTCTCTTGTGCCATCCTTCTTCTTCTTCTTGTGGGTCTCTGCAAAGACTTCAGCATAAGTCACATCTCCCCCACGTTCCTTTTCCTGAAAATTAAGAATTAATTAGAAATATAAATATATATATATATGTTCAATTTGCATGCTTGTAAAACTAAGAATATTTTATAATGAAATTATCATTCTCCAACGATGGGCTTCAAAACTAATAGAACCTCCAGTATGCAATGCTCCACCCTTAGTAGAAGCTCTGTTTAACTTTGCTTGTTCACTCTTCTTCTTCCACTCAGGGGTGTTCCACTTCGCCAAGAGCTGATTCCAGACATCTTCACGTATCCAATTAGGCTTTTTGCCACCATTCCTAGCAACATGATGTGAATTTGTTATCAGCTTCTGTGCTTTCTTCTCGAAGTTATCATGCACCAGATTTTCAAGTGTTGGCTGCCATACGCACTGAACCTGCAAAATTTAATAAATAATATTAGACGAATGAGGATATGTATTAATAAAAATTAATTTATCTTACCTTAAATTGTTGCCACATATTCATTCTGATCTGGTACGATATCTGTCTCCAAGAATTCCAAGGCTCGTTAAAAAAATGGCTTCATAGATTCCATTACCATATGCGCGGCCTGAAAGGATGGCAAAAACCTTCATTTAATTTTAACATATAAAATGTCATTAAATTCATTATATGCAAAATTTTATTGAAAGTTTTTAAAAGGAAATTGAATAAAAACTCACCCGACGTTACGGAGAATGATAATCAGCCGATGAAGATGATCGTACTGTATAGTCCCTCCAGTACAATGTCTCACGGTACCAGCAACTGTAGACATACTGGTAGATGGGGATGCAGCTACGTCAGAGCCTCCAATATCCAAGTTAGATATACTTGAAGTGGATGATGCTGGAGATGATAATTGAGTGGCCGATGTATGAGGCACAAAAGATGAACCGCCATGCTGGCTACTATGATGGCTCGAGGATGCAATCGGTGGTGAGCTGCCGATCTGACTAGCAGGACCACGCGGGGAAGAAGCTGGGAAATGAGGCGTGGGTATTAAATTAATGGTGGTCGAAGCCGAACCACCATGAGAAGGCATGGAGTAATACTGAAGCGAGCTAGATGGGGGAGGGACTTTGAAAAAGTCAGATGACTGTGAAGCTGGCATGGAAGGACGAGGAGGCATAGGAAGAGGGCTCATATTTGGTATAGGTGGAGGAAGCTGACTTGATCTAGGTAAAGTGTGTTTCTTCTTCTTAGATTTTTTTACTTTTTTACCGCGAGAATCCATCTGTGTAATAAATTTGGAAGCGATAATAAGCTTAACTTCTTAAGTTGAATCAGTAGGAGAATTCAACTTGTCCTTTCTGTAATGGATAAGATAAAATTATTGTTACTTCGACTGATTTATATTCATGATATATATAAACCAAATAAATATGACATGGTGAAAACAATCAGAGAAGCAAGAAGCAAGAAACCAACAAAGGAGAAAATGATTAAAAATGGCTTAGAAGTACTAGTAGTCATGATTTTGGGGTATTATTGTCTTAGTGTGGTTGTTTCTTCTGTTTAATAGTGCAGAAACCAATTTGAATTGAAGTTCAATGGTGTTCAAAAAGACAAAAATCCTAAAAGGTAGAGAAAGACAATAATGAGTAATCTGTATTGTATACGAACAAAACTCCAGGAAGAAAATTGGAAGTAGAAACATCACTTAACTCAATATAAATATTCAAAAAAAAATCAGCATATTCAATTTATATATTAATAATATTTAATTTATAAAATTCGATTTAATACTATCCCTTATCCTACGTTGCTTCTGTTAGACGTGTTAGAATTCAAGTGTGACTAGATGTCTATTGATTGATAGATATATGATGTTGTATGTATTAAGGTATATTATGCAAAGAAACCAGAGAGAAGGAAGTGCAAGAATGGAAGCCTTCTACTGGAAGAATCAACATTGTTAACTATGTGCATGATTCAAGCTTCAATCGACTATTTGTGTTCTGTAAAGCTTCTTCTAAAGCCATTAGCCGATGAAGTAGAAAGATGAGAACCATGCATGGATTGTTATATATAACAAATAAAACGAATATACCAACAAATGAAACAACATACAACAGTCGTATATGAGATAAAACACCAATCAAATGTAACATTCATATACGAAGCTAAGCCATTTAATCTGCACATGGAAAGTAAATGTTCATGAAACGCCATTAATGTCCCAAAAAACATCTAGAATAAGAAAAAAGCAAACAGAAAGATATCAAACAACGTCATAATCCAAGCACATTTTGTAGTTCATAGTATGTCGCTTTTCCAAAGACTAAGACAATAATACCCCAATAATACTCAATATAGATGGATTTAACAAGATGGTTAACCATACACTCATATGCATCAGAGCAATCAAACCATGGCAAGGACCGATGAGCTCATCATAGGCAATGCTAAAAGGGGCTGTCATATAAGGCGCATCTAGATCTGGACGGATATAATTGAGATAATCATCACCGTTAATAGAAAGAAAAGAAAAGATAGCTTTATATTTTTCAATATCTTCTTTGAAGGAACGCTTGAGGAGAATGTAATTATCTTTCAAAGTTGTGCGGTTGAGATGAAGCTTGATGAAAATGGAGGATTGTATGAGAGTATAACATGTTCTGGACACGCATTTGAATCGCAACAGGCATATCTAGTCATTCAAAACGAGTTCAATCAGACCCACTGTTCTCAATTTGGACTACTTATACAAATGAACAAACATTCCACATACAACATAGACTACACCCATAATGAACAACTGTAAATCAAGCAAAAAGCCACTATTTTTGAGTTTCACAAATAAAACAATAAGGGAAATTTTAACAACAACAATTCTCAATGCAGATAAAGCCATTTAAACCTCAACCACAGGCCCCCAAAACCAAAAACCCTGGCCAAAGATTGAATTTGTAGCTTAATTTTGGTTCATAAAATAGGAAAATGATAAAATAAAAATAAAACAACACTCACAAGACACAGTCCAAGAAAAGTATAGCAACTGAAAAACACAAAAGAACATGCAAAAGTCATTAACGAAGAAACCCCAATTTCAAGTTTATTCCTCTAATTAAGGTAATTGGAGATTGAAACTTACTGTCTAAATTAGCTAACGAACTGAAGCTAACAAACAGAAACTCCGGATTTGAGAGGGAACTGAAGTTGTTCGTGTGTGTGTTCAGCGTCGGAATTGAGAGGGAATTGAGAGGGACTGGAAGGTTTCGCCGGATTTCCGGCGGGGTTGGTGTGAGAGAGATGAAGTCAGGGGGGTGGGTCGTATGGAGAAGACGAAATCAGGGGGGTTGTCTCTTGGAGGCGAATTTCTTAGAATAATTTAGGTCTTGTCTATTTCTTAGCTCATTGGGGTGGGCTACGGTTTTAAAAATAATCTGCGTCTGATTCCGTCGCAAAACTAGCGACCGTTTGAGTCGCAATTTTAAAAAATAATTTGACCAGAGTTTAAAATTATTTGCGACCGAAACGGACGCAAATGGTCAAATAAAATTGTTTGACTTTTGGTTTCCGACTGAATCCGCTGCAATAATTTATCTCGGATTTTTGCGCGAAATGTTGCGACCAATGTTGTCGGAAAAATAGTCGAAAAAATTAAAAATATAACAAATATTATTTTTTAAAATTCC